ATGGGACGCACAAAGGGCGTTTTGCCTTTCTATAAATAGCCTTCAGGCAAACCAGGTACGTGGGAGTGACGTCAGCAGCCAGGAATGTTGTGCGTGGTGCACGCATCACCTGTGCTTTGGTAAGGTGAACCCTTCCCCCCCCCCCCAATGTATTGTGAAGCTACACACAACCAGTAGGTGTCGACCACAAGGGGAGCCTACATTCCTCGAGCTAGATAATATCTGGGTTTATTTATATAGGCATTTGTGAATGCAAAGAAAACTTGAAGGCCTATTGTGTGCTTGTGCATACACAGATACACTCACACGTACGTCACATAGATACACTTGTGAAATCTTGACTTAAAACTTTCGTGACTGCAGGAATACATATTCTATGGGTCTTTCGGTGGCTTTACTGAAAGACCCATAGAATATACACATAATCTGCCTTAGTAACGGATCCCAAGCATCTTTTCTAAAAGACAATGGATGTCAAATGGCTTTCACATAAATAAAATATTGAGATTGGAAGTGCCGGTTGTTTCATTTACTCTTTCTATCATTGAGGCACGTGACAATATTTATTGTACACAATTTGATTTCAGAAAGTTTTGCATTTCTGGATGTTGTGCGATGAGATCTGTGTTGTGAATTGCGTATTATAAATATATTCTGGGTGGTGGTGATGATGATTCAATCGCAATACAATGGGATATTAAATCAATGTTCTACAGTACTGTACGTATTAAATCATTAACCATTGTTTTGTTAGACGCAGCATATTATGGAAATACGAGCATCTTTTCCCGTCCTAGGACGGAAGCTGTAATATTTACGAAAAAATTGAGCAGAGTATAATTGTATCTTGTGTAAATTTAATGGCAGTGAATCTTGCACAAAACAAAGTCATCAAACACTTCACTGCAGTTCACTGTAGCACTGTAGTAATGGCAGTGAGTCTTGCACAAAACTACGTCATAAAACACCTCACTTCATGTCACTGTAGCACTGTATATAACTGACCTTCAAATTGTTAAAATTCACTGCTCTGATACTTTATTCTCCTCTGCTTTCGGTCGCTGGGGTTGAAATAAATTGGAATTCGATACAATATCTGGAAAATCACAGAGAAATGTCTATTTTACCATAATGTAGAAGCATAAATTAGACTTATCTTTTGTCTCAAGTGCTGAAGAAATAAATAAAGACACCAAATCCACTTTGTTGCCGCGTAGAATTATTTATTAGATTCATTTTCAAAAGCGAATTTGCGTGAGTGTAAAAATGCACCCGCTCATTAATATTAATGACGGGGGGTGCGGCAAGTGGAGTGACGTCACGCGCGTTACACACAAACAGATATTCTTGGCTCAGTATAGTAGTAATTACTCTGTATATACGATCCAGTACATCCATCAGCTACCAGGATCAGTTTTTACAAATTCTTCTGAATAAAACATTGACAATCATAATTGTTTCAACTCTGCGCACTCCTTAATCCTTAGCTATTGTTACTAATTTTCATAACTATGAACGTTGTTGTTCATCTTTGTGTATGCAGGACAGCAACATTAACCGGTTAAACCAGACCATACCCAGGCTCACAATAGCGACACGTGGATTGTTTTATTGTTATTTTTACGTACTTTAATTTCAGTTCGTGGGCACTGTGTAGTGTAATTATCAGCAAAGTGAAGCACGCCCATACATTCTGTACAATACTTGCATTGTTAACACTGTGTGACTCCGCTCTAAATATCAGATCAGCCGTTGAGATTAACATCAGTGCAATGGGGACGACTGCTGAGCACTTTATTTTATGGCCTTACAGTAATTGTACAGGGTGGGGGGGCCGGTATTTATCATTTAGAACATCTTATAAGTCCACTTTTCGAAAATATGTAGGATAAAATGATGTAAAAAGGGGGGGGGGGGGTGGAGCTGTGGTACAGCGGTGAGCTCGCTACATTATGAATCCCAGTCACCAGATTTAAATTCCTGTTCACAGATAAAATCCGTGGCAAAGTTATACAGAATCAGAATTGTCCCTGCCCTTGCCCCACCTGCACCAGTCAGCGTGGGGAAGTATGCCAATCTATCCCCATGGCTGACATCGTGTGGTGAGGCCCTCATCCATTGGTGGATTGAGAATTATGAATGAAAAAATTATTGGATACACTATTTATGTATTAAGTGTCTTCAGGTTAAAATGAGCAACAATTAAATCCCAGTGTATTTTTATTGCCAGTACTGTGCTCTACATTTTTGGTGAGCTCATAGGCACCGACCCTAAAACCAACTACTGTACTGTATAGTACACACTTCCTTTATTTCTATAGTAGTTGTCCTCTCGAGAGACTGGCTCCCATCATAGGACGGAGCCACCAACAGACATTCAGCACGACCATGATCAACGCTCCATAATGCTCAACACACAGTAACTGTAGAGATGCTGCCTTTTAAATAATACAAAATAAACTCAACACATTCTTCAATAGCACTGCCTTGAATGGCAACCTGTATTACGGGGTGACGTTTAAGGAAACTACGGTGGCCAAAAGACCCTATACGACTGACATGGTTGTGAGGAGGGAGGCCTTCGTCCATTGGTGGATTGAGAATGCCTGGATTTAGATTTAAATTGTACACATGTATATAATTGGATAAACAATGAATGTGTCTTAAGGTTAAAATGAACAACGATGTATGTGCTATCAAGAAAGGCCAATGTCTGAAATATTCCCGATATATATTTTTTCCTTTTAACAAATGTATAGAGTTTTTTTTAATTCATTGTGCGTGTTGCAGCACTGCAAACTGCAGTATGACCAAATAGTTTTGTTGACTTTTAAAATGCTGGACGTACACAACCCTTTGTCAATCCACCGCTGTGTGAAGCAGCCACACCTTTTGGGTGACGTTGGGTTGTTTGGTCAGTGCAGTTTGTGACGGAAGTGGGTGCCCAGAGCCCCTGTCAGATGCCACTCGCCATTGGTGTTAGCCACGACCCGGGAATCGAACCGGTGGAATTAGCCATGGTTGCCAGGTTCACAGTGTTATGTGCCAATCTTTGCATCACTGCTTTGACCTTCTTAGAATATAGGTTATTCCATTGTTAAGGTTTGAGTGACGTCAGTCATGTTAAGTACTGCTGTACAGTGTCTTCCTGAGGAATTTAGTTTTTTATTCAAAGATGTAATGCCTTAGTTTTTTATTTAAAGATGTAATAACTCCAAAAAAACCTCTTATGGATATAATGTCTTATCGCAGAAATGTGACACAGAAATGTAGTAAGAGCATTTTTAGGAATGTTTGCATAGTCTAATAAAATATAAATACACGCTAGGGTTACTCTTGCAACTGCATTACATGCAGTATATACAGGGTGTCCCAGAGGTCTTGTGACCTTAAATTAATGTACTGCTAACATGCTTTCCTTTGCATATTCACTTCTGTTTTAAATACACCTTGCTTTAAAAAAGAATACGTTTTAAAGGCACGTCGATATGTTCAAAGACGACTGCTTGTGTTGCGATCGAAACGTCGTAGTTTTTTTGTTATTTTCTTTGAACTTTTCTTCGTGACTTTACAGAAAGACCAAAAGAATATGAATTCCTGCAGTCACGAAAGCTTTGAGTCAAGATTTACGTTTTAGAGAGTTAAACGGGGGGTCACGAGACATCGAGACCACCCTGTACTACAGTGTATTGTTTATTTGTACTTCGTAGGTGCTTGCTAACAGCACTTGTCCCACCAGTCTGTTAGGGCTATACAGGGGGATCATTGTCTTTGTTTTGTTTATTCGGGAACAATGCCAATGGCAATACCGGTGTCCAGCTCTCTCTCGCAGTGATTCCTCAACGCTATTTATTACATTACAGTATCTGCAGGTGACTAAAACAGGTCGAGTATGTGTTTATTCATTATCTACTGCCCTGCATACAAATGCAGTTTAACACGTAAGCGGTCGCAAATCACAGATGCCGTTGTTTGCTGTTGTTTCCATTCTTTGCTGGTAACATTGGTTTCATTAGTGCGTGCCGATTGTTTAATAATGTGATGCAATTTTCTTTTTACTGTCCTCCTGAAGTATCCCAAAAGGACTGAAACGACTTTGAATACTGCTGAATAACAAAATTGTAATCTTGATTTGAAGCTTTCGTGACTGCAAGAATCCATACTCTTTGGTTCTTTCGGTAAAGTCACGTAGGTAGAAAAACAATAGATCACGATGTTTCGATCGCAAAACAAGCAATCGTCATCAGGTGGGACAACCACATCAAGAAAAAACTGTACACTATGGGGACCTCATTTGCCAGTAAAAATATGATAATTGGTTCTTTACCCTTCTATCTGGCAACAAAACTGACGCCTTTTTGCAAGGAGTCATGTTTGCATAGACCGCAATACCTGCAGTCATAATACAAACAAAAGAACATAACTCTGATAATGTGCACTGTCCTTGAAGTTGATTGGTCCACACCCGAGACAGCTCAACTTCAAGGACAGTGCACATTATCAGAGTTATGTTCTTTTGTTTGTATTATGACTGCAGGTATTGCGGTCTATGCAAACATGACTCCTTGCAAAAAGGTGTCAGTTTTGTTGCCAGATAGAAGGGTAAAGAACCAATGATCAAGAAAAAACTACTTCGGCAGGTTTTTTTTCTTGCTGTGGTTGTCCCACCTGATGACGATCGCTTGTGTTGCGATCGAAACATCGTGATCTATTATTTTTCTACCTACGTGACTTTACCGAAGGAACCAAAGAGTATACAAGACTGTAGTATTACAATTTGCAGGATCTCAGGAGAAGAGATGCCAGTGGCTTGGCGAGGTCTTCATCCAGCGGTAGAATGATCATGGCTGACTACAATGAACCAAATTTGCTATTTTTTTCATATCACTTCCTAGGTTGTGATTGTGATGGGAGAAACCAAGGCGGGCAATGTACAGGTTTGTACGAATGGTGTTTCCTTACTGGTGAAGTAAAATGTTTGTAAATGTTATGTTTTACAGATTCGTCCCTGTTGTACCTTGACATGAAAATTGCAGAGCCCAAACCCCAGGAAAATGTGAAGCAAAAGGTAAAAATGCATACAAACACGTCGTACACATATGCACAACACTGCACATGCCAATATATAACCTTGATACGTGCTTTTTGCATGCGTATCCACCATGGGTGAAATGTGGGTTATTCTTCCATTGAACCCTGTCCTTTACATATCGCATACTTAAAGTACACAGCATGTAACCCTATGACCAGTCATAGAAGTTGGTAATCAGCACAAACTAGACGTTGCTGTCGCAAATATTTTTGGTACATTAACTGACGCGATTAAATGCGGACATTCTTTGCTGCCATGGTGACAGGTTTTGACATTTGCTTGGACCGACCCACTCGAAGGCGAAATATTTGCAGGGACATAACTTTGTGTTTAATAATCAGGGAGAGGTCTCTCCGCGTCAAACTGCTGGAGCTTGTTTTGTAATTGAAAGTATTTGGTTCGTTCAGTTTAATGCATTTTAACAGCACACTACGTGCTTTTTCAAGTGTAATGCTGTATAATGTAACCACGGTGATTGTCATGTTGTACATACTGAACAAGTGAAAGTATTACGGGTATTTTACATGCTCATCTGAGCGATATATATGAAATTCAAAATTAAGTATCATATTCTATACATGCCAACATATTTACCCTTCAGTGTTGTTAACAAAATACATTGTTAATTACATTTCTGACAATTCACATGTACTGCACTACGTGTATAATGTACATATACTGTAGAAAATTTCATTTGGAATAAAAAAAACTCCTCTGTTAAATGAACCTACATCACGATTGTTTCACGTCTCTCATTCATGAGTGTGCCGCAGGAGTAACATTCAGTTTTAAACAGATAAATATAAACACAAATATTGCAGTACAGACTGTGTGTATAATCTGTGCGTGATATTGTGGGTTGGCACAGCAAGGGGCACAGGTGGTGGCATCGGCCAGTCAGTCAAGCCATGGCACCTGCTGAGTCTGTCCTGTGACCTCTTGCCAGTGGGCGTTTGACGCGTCACATGGCCTTAACGTGCACGTAGCTTGGCACAAGCGCCATGGTGTCATCACCACCACTTAGTCGCGAATGGCGGTTGTTGTTGTTGTTGCTGCTTTGGCGAGTCCACAGAATCACACTTGCTGATGAAATTGTCATGCATGCTAACTGTTTGTACTTATCAAGAGCAAACCCCACCCCCACCTCCTTAATCCCAGGCTTTTGAGGAACAAAGTTGACCAACTCATTGCGTTCTTGCCTTTCTCTGCCGCAGATCGATGCTGTCCGTGCAATATTTCCCAACCGGAGTAAGAATGAAGTTGTTCTGGTGCTGCAGCACTTCGATTACAGTGTGGACAACGCCGTGCATGCCTTTCTCGAAGGTAAACTGTGCCACGCCTCGGCACAGCAGGGTCCAAATTTCCCACCCATGTTCATTCAGTAACCCCATATTGTTTTTTTGAATCTACAAATCTGTTTTGATTTTCATTTTAACACGTACGCTTTCGCGACCGATATTATCCATAACCTGTTGTATATATTGTGGGTTTATTCTTCAACACACCGGTGTGCTGTACTTGTAACGAATTGGCATGTTTTGTTTATGTGACAAACTTTACTAATTGGCTGTGCCGGGTGGTGGCGGGTTTAACGACAGACACATTTATACTTCACGCGATCTAACCCAAAAACCTCTTACTGATTTGAATTGTTTAATGTGGGTGGATAGACCACACTAGAATTTCTAGGCGACAGTCATTGTTTCAAAGAAACGACTCTGGAGTGCACGCTTTAGGGGAAGTTAAATTCCACTGGGTAAAATTTTTGCCACTAGATGTTTCTGCATATGTTCCAAATATTACGTTGCTTAAAGGAAGCAGTGGTTACAAATATTACGTTGCTTAAAGTAAGTGTTACGTATGAAAACGGATACAACTGAAAGGAGAGTGACGTCTTTGTATTCGTTTTATGATTTAGTATTTTGCTGAACTTTAACTTCAGTCAATACTCATCGTAAAAATGTCAGCGATTGAGAGCATCTTGCCTCCATCCATCATTGCTTCATAGAGTTGAACACAAATGTCACAAATGAACATTTCCTTTATCTATACAGCGCTGTATTACAGTATACATTTGTATATATTTATGCTTCTACCAGCTGTTTTTCCTAAACTGGGTGCCACGGTGGTAAGATGTTAACTCCCTCTCCTGGTATACAGGAGGTTATGGGTTCGATCCCGACCCTATATATTTAGAGTTTGTATGTTCTCCCCGTGGTCACGTGGATTTTTCTCTGAGACTTCCGGTTTTTCACTCCACATTTAGAAACATGCGTTTAGGGTATTTGGCTGCTATAAATTTCATTTGTGGCCAGGTCGCTTCTGAAAAAGAGCTATAGCTCAGTGGGCCTTGCCTGGTAAAATAAAAATTGTTTAGTTTTAACTCACCCTCAGTGCATTACCCTGCGATATCTGTACTGTGGAGCCTCTACATTTATAAAACCAAAGTGTTTTTGTCTAAACATATGGGTCTCATCTGTTTATGGGATGGGCATTCACGTGGGGGTGAGTGTGAGACCACTGGTTCAGGAATTATTGTTAGTTTTTGGTGTTATCTTGTATTTTGTCCATGTCCACATGGTCAGCATGACTTTTGCTTTTCAAAATTTTACTCTACGCAACAGTTCAAAAGTTAATATTGCAGTACTGCACAAAGAATGCAAACTGACATTTTACTAGAATATAATAACAGTGTAAGATCAGTAGAGAACTGTCCAAGCACTGCCATGTATCACATCACAATGTGCTGTGGTTGCAAAATTAAAGGGGTAAATATTTAATTGAATGATCAATTAATGTCCTATTTATGTCAAAACTGCACTGCTCAAGTACACATGGTAAGAGCCTATTACTGACATGGTATTGGGAGACCTTTTTCCATTTGGTAGATTGAGAATGGTTGGAGTAAATATATATTTTATTATATATGCATGTTTGTGCTGATTTAAGGACAATTTACTGTTGATGAAGTGATTCTGTGACTGAGTGTGACTGACTAGTATATCTATTTACAACTCCAGAATTTCAGTTTCAGAGTAGCAGAAATGTAACTTGTTACGTTGTAGATTACATCGATTCCAAAAACTCTTGGTCACTGTATATTTATTTTCTGCAACAGGAAATGTTTCAGGAATTCTGGGTGCCTGGAATATGACAAAAAAGAAGGTATTTATATCCTATAATAACATCCTTGACCCATGTCACCTATTAATCATGTAATAACGTAACATGTTGATACAGTATGTTGGTGTCGCATACCTGTCAACCCATTATCAGTGCCCTACCTTATAACAGACCAATTCAGGCCTTATTGCTCACCCCGTGCCCTTATAAATCTCAACGTTCATCCTACAATGTCCCATCACAAGGGAGAAACACAAAAAATAGACAAAAACATGTTTTTCCCGTATTGATTCAGCTGTACGCCGTATGGACCTGAAAACTCTATTTCCCTGTACAAGAATACGGGGACACCTTATGGGTTGACAGGTATGGTGTTGTACCCGCGTACACTTAATATTGCTGACTCTGAATGCAGTGAAAGTACAGTGCTCGCTCACTTTGTTTTTGTAGACTCCAAAAAAGAAAAAAATCAAAGCTCAAGACGACATTGAGGTGCAGAATCCTGAAAGGGCTGAGGAAAAAGTGCCGTCTCGTGCTTCTGCCACGGAGCCTGAGGCATGTGCAACCGAGGCAGCCAGCGAAACTTGCTCGGGTGTTAGCGAACACAGCAGCGTTCTTGACTGTGACGGCGCCTTGAAAGACGGGTTTCTGCAAGACGCGTCGCTTTCAAGTGAAAGGAGGAGTGGAACAAATGTCGATTCTAGACATTCGTCCTTTTGCTCGGAAAGAAGCCACGTGGAGAGTGGTTTCCTGGAGAATGGTTCTGATCAGCAGCCAGCGAGCCAACCATTCAACTCTGAACCTCTCTCTCCAGGTGAATAATGCTAATAATGCTCTTATTTTTTTAAATGTATTTGGGAGTTGATCCGCAATTGGTATTCATTCTTGTTGAGTTTGAAGAGGCCAGTGCACGGCTTCAGGAGTAGCCTGTTGAATATTTGAACTGCTGTCAGCGAATTATCAAAGTGGCCAGTGTCGTTCTATGCAATCCATTATAACACATTCCTGCGGAGGGAGCTGGTAGGAACGTTGGGTTGCTCGGTCAATAGCCAGGGTCAATGGCGGCGTGGTATATTCCGCAAATATGCCCGACTGTGAGGGCGGGCACAAGCCGGCGTGAGTAGGTTAAACGTTGAGTTTTATAAGGGCACCACGGGGTGACCAGCCCCTCCCCACCCAGCCCCTCCCCACCCTCCCCACCCAGCCCCTCCCCACCCTCCCCACCCAGCCCCTCCCCACCCTCCCCACCCTCCCCTCTCCACCCAGCCCCACCCCTCCCATTTTTGGATGCACGACGGACGGACACTATAATCCCCTGTGGGCTGGTGTAACCAGGAGGTTCCTACCAGTATTATTCAATGTAGACTCACTGGTGAGGTGAAACATGCTTCATGAAAATATCTTAAAAGCATTATTTCACACGGTGAACTTCGATGATAATTGACTTAAATTGCTTTGCTTTTGCAGGTGCGAAGAAAATTCATTTTCAGGAGCAAGTTTATTATGGTTTACCGCAGGAATGTTCCAAAAGTCCCACGGGCCGACCTGAAAATGCTTTTGACATTAGTAACAGTCGTGGAGTAGTGTCAACGCATCGTTTAATGTGTTCATCCACTTCTTCAGACAGCCTGTCTGGTGCCTCTCCACAGCGTGGGACTGCGAATCGCCAAACTGAAATAAGTTTTACACATCATGATGACAGGGAAACTACTTGCTTGTCTTTTAACAGCAACTTAAGTGCAATAAGCAAGCATAGTAGCAGCAAAGTACCAATTGACAAGTGTAGTAACTCTGATGCAACAAAGAAGACCAGCAATTTAGTCGAGAATCATCATAACTGTCACATCTCAGGGCCTGAGTCTAACATTGGCGGTATACCACCAGTTGCCAATGTGGGATCACAAGGGCAGCAAAAAAGAAATTCAGCTCATAAAGAGCAAATAGATATCCAAGTGGGTGTAGGCAACACAGGAACCATCACGTCCCTAGCAGCAGATACCAGTGGCGGAGTTCTAAAAACCACAGTTAATCTTGACAAACATTCCGCTGCTCCAAGTGCATGCAGGGAGCAGCCTGGCAGTATTGGCACAACCATAACATGGGAGGACCAAACTAAAGGGAGAGACGGCAACCCAAATGCTATTTTGGGAAGGGGAATTGGTGTTGTCAGTGACACAGAGAGGAATGGTAACTCACCTGCCATGCCTTCCGCTTCATCAGTTGTCCTTGACAATACGCCTCACGTTGCCGGCACGGTCCACGTGTTTGGCCCGGCAGACATTTATAGCAGAAGGGAGAAGATGTTATTGAAGCGCAGCATTAGTTTGGGTACACAGAGTCAGGAGAATGGTAATGGAGCGGTTGGAACAAAAGTCCAGTTGGACAGGAGGAGAAGCAACCCAGCGAAGGTCGAACACAACTCGCAAGTATTTGACGTAAATTATGGCTTGGAGAAGAAAGCGACTGCTATGAGCCTTGGGGACATCGGTCTGAACTGCACAGAAACGCCGATCCAGAACAACAGAGACCCTGATAGTGCAGAACAGTCAGGTGCAGCTATAGCTGCAGATGCATCTGACCAGGGTAGAAGGGACAGTCAGACTGGTAGAAGGGATAGCCACTCTGTTAATGGAGATAGCCAGCCTGCTAGGGACAGTCAAAATATCAGAAGAGATAGCCAGCCTACTAAAAGTGACACTTCATCTCTCAGAAGAGACGGTCAAACTGCTATGCAGGAGAGCGAATCTGGTCATCAGGATAGCTGTCCTACTGACCGGAGGGACAGCCAGCCGAACAGAAGGAACAGTCAGTCTTCTAGAAGCGATAGCCAACCTTCCAGAAGAGACAGCCAGTCTGCTGATAAAGACAGCCAATCTGGGAGGCGAGACAGCCAGCCTATCAGAAGAGACAGCCAGTCTGCTGATAAAGACAGCCAATCTGCGAGGCGGGACAGCCAGCCTATCAGAAGGGACAGCAAGTCTGCTGATAAAGACAGCCAATCTGCGAGGCGGGACAGCCAGCCAATCAGAAGAGACAGCCAGTCTGCTGATAAAGACAGCCAATCTGCGAGGCGGGACAGCCAGCCTATCAGAAGGGACAGCCAGTCTGCTGATAAAGACAGCCAATCTGCGAGGCGAGACAGCCAGCCTATCAGAAGGGGCAGCCAGTCTGCTGATAAAGACAGCCAATCTGCGAGGCGGGACAGCCAGCCTATCAGAAGGGACAGCCAGTCTTCCAGACGGGACAGCTCAACTGCTAAACAGGATGGCCAAGGGGACAATGCGGAGAGCGACGTCTTCAGGAGAGACGACCAATCCGAGAGGAGGGACAGCAGCCAGTCTGACAGGAGAAACAGTGCAACTCAGAGGAAGGACAGCAACGCAGACAGAACGGACAGCAATACGGGAAGAAAAGGTAGTCTTCCTGGCCGAAAAAACAGCAACTCTGGGCGTAGGGACAGCGGTTCCAACAGCAGAAGAGACAGCAACCCAGATCAAAAGGATGGCAAAGGTGGGAGGAGAGACAGCGGCGGATCCAGCAGAAAAGAGAACCGCAGAAGGCCAGGTGCGTTGTTTGCTCTGCATTGTGAGAGTAGAATTGTACGGAATGAAAGGACGGTTTTCACAAAACACTTTGATGAAACTAAATTTACGGTTTTTAGCTGATGATAACAAACGCTTGAATGGAAGCTGTTATTTTGAAGATACAAAAAATTACAACAAGTTGCCGTTATCGTCGTTGTTGTGTATTTTACTCGGATTTAATGAAATATTCAAATTCCCAATCTATGGCCATGACATTATATTTTATTATCACGTAGAGATAACACTATGTAATGTTTGCATTCGGATATCGTTCCACACTGTTCAAGCGCAGACATCTCTAAAATACACATCTCAAATTCCCATGCTTTGTCCCAAACTGTTTCCTCGATTAAAATGCCCATTTCCGATGAAAGGCATTGCCAGTGCAACCACATATCAGGTTTCTCGTTGATTGTTGTAGTGTTCTTTTACCAAATGTATAATTTAAATATTTCGCTTGTATTTAAATGTGTTATTATGAATGATTCGTTTGTTTAATACCAAGGACTTTAGAAAAGTTTAAGCACTGTTTGGAAAATATTGTACATTTGGTGTTCATTATTGAAAATGTGTGATTGGCACAATTTACTGTCTGTTGCTTCTTCAATGAATAATAGCACTTCTAATATTTCTGCAATATTAAATAAGCATTTGCATACTGTAGTACACAAGGCATATCCTGCACATAATCACGGAACGCAGAAGGCTTCTTTCACGTGACGGTCAACTAATTAATGAATCTATATCATTGTCATTATAGGTGGGAACGTAGAAAAATCAGTCAAGGATCTTCAAAGATGTGTGGTATCATTAAACAGATACCAAACATTACTCAAGGAAGAAGCAGAAGGTTCCACCAAAAATTTAAAGGCAGCATTTTCTGAAATGACTGATTGGTAAGTTAACTTGTGCAGCGTGGGTTTGAAAGGACTTCTGACTGTTAAGAGAGATGAGTAAAGAAACACGCTTCTCATCATCAGTCTGTTCTTATTCTTAGTTCTCTTGCGCATTTCAATAACTGGTGAATGCCTCGCCACACGATATCATGGGGGTTGTGTGCCAATACTTCACCACGCTGGTCAGTTCAGGTCTGGGGCCTCAGAACTGGTTTATCAATCACTCGTCACTGATGTTAGCCAGGTCACGTGTGGTGGGACAAATTGTGATTACTCCCACCTCTTCCAAGACGTTTGGCAAGCGTGGAAGAATAGGCCCACATGTATGTATTGCATGTATGTTGAACTTCTCTCGCACCGTACATAGCCAAACGTGCTAATCAGAAGTGTGGGGGAAGGACAACAAACTAAACACGAAAAGAAGTTATAAAGAAATTCGTTTTCAATCTATATTTAAGAGTGCATACCTCCAGTGGCTTCCTAATATCGGAAGGAAGAGCGTTCCAGACAGCTGCAGAAGCGCATCTGAAAGCACGAGATGCAGTGACCATCTTGATTCGATGGTGAGCCAAAAGCCGATGTGAGGATGGTTTATGCTCCTTGACGCTATCAGCAAAATATTGTGGTTCAAATACTATTTAGAGGGGCTTTCTAGAGATCCCACTAGTAGAGACCCTTCTTCCAGAAATGGTCTAAGCAAACAAATGCAGAAAACTCTAAATGTAATTGGCCAAACATCCAGATGTACCACCCCACTGAAAGAGTTGGCTCAGTGGGTGTATTGCTCTATTAAAAGGAAATGCTGTGCAACTATTAAGACGTATTACTTGTGTTTCTGACTTGAAGGCTCATGGACCGGGAGGTGAGCATCTTCACAGAGCTTGATCAAGTTAAGCACGAAGCAAGTAAGTTCTGCAGCATGCATTTGCATCAAGGACACTAACTAAATGCCGGTTATATATAAATTACTGAGCAGAAGAGAACGTTTTAAAATGTATATATATGCTTTTTCAAGATAAATTGCCTGCATAAACAGCCAATGTAATTACCAACATCATCGTTGACACTGGCAATAAAAACATCTATAATATGCTAATAGTTGGGGTAGTATTTGTTTAAAGCAGAAGGTGGGCAGGCAAAATATTGAGTAGCGTGCTCTTAATGGCTTCAAATACAGAGCCAGTGACGAATTAAGGTACTAAATGGCTCGATAAAATAACTTTTAAACATAGTTTTTAAATATTATGTAATACAAATACATTTTGAAATATGACCTATTTATTTTCAATATTTCTTGGGCCAACTAAATTTGTTTAATTTAGCTTCAAACGTGGCCTGATTTATCTCTTGGGTGTGTTTTTTGACACGTTTGTCATGGGTACCCATTTATCTCTGTAATGTCCTTTTCAGTGAGCATCCTGAATGCAAGGCAAAGGAAAGCAACTGAGCTGAAAAAGCTATGTGACAAGAACAATGCGGCCCAGATGTCTGATGCATATCTCACAGATCTGAGGGCTGAGATCAAGGTAAAGCAATTAACTTCAAGGCAATATGGGATGGGGCATGGTGTTTTTAATAAACCGCCTGTATTATATATGAACTGTGCAGCTAATAAGAATACTTACAGCAGTGATAATGCTGATGTGTTTTCGTTAGCCTTGAAATTTCCTCCATTTTGAGATCTTCATCCAGCAGTAGATTGACAAAGGGGCGGTACGTGTGTGTTTTTCCATTGCATCACTGCACAAGGAATATACTATTACTGTTTGTGTTTTTCAGAAATTTGTAAGTGAGCGTAAATATGATGAGGAGCTTGGCAAGACGGCACACTTCATGTGGGACAGACAAGCCGTCAAGAAAATGATTGACACCTTTGGAAACAGTAAGTACTACATTTCATAAAACTACTGCTACTACTGTATAGGTCAGAGGTCGGCAACCTACGGCTCCGGAGCCGCATGCGGCTCTTTACGGGCTGCTTCTTGACGATATGTACGTATGTACAGTATGTACATAGATGCATTGCGGCTCTTGAAATACTGAATTTTGTACCGAATTAGAAAGAAATGGCTCTTCTTGTTATTTTGGTTGCCGACCCCTGGTATAGGTTTTCACAGTCATGCTGCATAGCTCTCCGATGTGTTATTTGCGTCGTTTACTGCATGTTGCTTGGCACGATATAATAAGTTCAGTCCTTTGGCAACTGAATTCAGTTCTTGAAGAAGTTCCCAGCAAGTGGAGCGAACCCATCGGGCCTCATGGATGTGGAGCTAAACGTCATACAGCAGGGGTCGGGAACCTTTTTGACTGGGAGAGCCATAAAAGCCAAATATTTCTAAATATATTTCATTGACAGCCATATAGTATTTTTAACGTATAATAAATTAAATATGTCTTACTTTTAATGCGACTTCTGGTCACGGGACCCGTGACCCGTGAAATTTTATCTTCAAAACTAATTTCTGTTTACTTTAAAATGACACAGTATTATTAAGCAATATCACAAGTATTTTAAAATCAGTTCCAAACTGATTTTATTTATTATTATTATTATTATTTTTTTCAACTCAAAATTGTCTGGGAGCCATATGCCGTCACCAGAAGAGCCATATATGGCTCGCGAGCCATAGGTTCCCGACCGCTGTCATACAGTAATCGCGTCGAACAACAAGCAGTCCAACCATAAAACACGTCATAAGACTCAACGCCAAGTTGGGTGTGGCTGCGTATTTTTTTGAGTTGTTCATTTGTGGTACCGTACAGTGCAATTCAGAAACCCAGCACATTTAGTTTTACCAGGGGTGTGGCGAGGTTACGATTCAACGCATTTTTTTACGCGCTTTTATTTAACTTGCCCTGTTGTCTGTTTATATTCTTTCAAATCTTTGACGCCTAATATCTTCGGATCTACGAAACCTAACGAGATAAAAAATGAGTACACTTGCTCGTCGTCTCGCGTGACAATTCAAGATTTAATTTAAAGGAACCTGTCCAAGTCCCGCCGATCATGGGCAGCTGTGTTTTTTACTAAATTTGTATTCCACTATTGCAAATATATTAGAATTATCCAGACAATAATGAACTATTATTGCCTGGATTGAAATCTTAGAATGAATATGCACATGTAAAAATTATGTTTACAAGATTAAAATTAAATAAATAAAAATATGTAAAAAACATGTGTTTCAATGCACACACTTTTATTTGCACTCAAAAATATAAAATACATTCTTTTCACCCCAGAATTTATGAAATTTTATGAGCTGAATAAAATTGGTGGCTTGCATTGAAAAATATTTTTTTCCCAAAATCTTTGAACATGAAATCACCAACGAAAAGCTGCATACATTGAACAGGTCCCGATCTTTAATAAGGGTTTCTGTTGCTAATGGCGTCTGGTAAACTAGCAGCATTTGCTCAACCAGCCTGATTTTACTGATGAAGTTGAACAGGGTCCAGAGTTTGCCTGCTTATTCAAATGCTGCTGGACAATAATTTCCCTGAAAGCCAATAGGCCTATAGAATAAAAAAAATTATCATTTATATCTGTAGCAACAGAACGGCATTCTGTTTACGATACATAGTGGCTGTAATGTTGCAAAAAAAACTACGTACGTCTTTATTTTCGGAAAATTTGATTGAATATTTCTCTGTTTGCCAGTCACCCATCCAAAGTTTGGACACGCGACGCCTGTCTCCTTACCAGTGGATACCCTGCTCGAGGCCAGCACTGTCCACCAATCTTCATGCACTACCCCATCCCAAAGCCATCCCCTTTCAGCTCAAACTGCTACTCAGGTGGCGACGCTAACTCACAATAGTCCCCATCCAGTTCAACAAAGTCCTTCAGCTGCTGCCCAGTGCAGTCCTCCTACTGCTCCTCCTGTTCAACTCGGTCCTGTCTCCATCACGCAAGGCAACCCCGTGGCTGCTTGTCAAGGAATTCCTGTTGCCAATTCTCAAGTCACGTTGGGGCCGATTAAAAAAATCTCTGAAGCTAATTCTGAACAAAGTAACGTAGCTGCTACTCAACACAGGCCTGTACCTGTTAATCAAAGCTCTCTGAGCAATGCACAACAAAGTAGTGTAGCTACGACTCCATACAGGTCTGCACCGGTTAATCAAAGCTCTGTGGCCTATGCTCAACAAAGTAATGTAGCTACGACTCCATACAGGTCTGCACCGGTTAATCAAAGCTCTGTGGCCTATGCTCAACAAAGTAACGCAGCTGCTACTGAACACAAGTCTGCAGGTATTGATCAACCCAAGTCTGCACTTGTTCAAGAAAGCCTAATGGCCACTACTCCACACAGAACTACACCATCTACTCCACACAGCACTACATCTACTACTCCATACAGCACTACATCTACTACTCCACACAGTACTACACCTACTACTCAACACAGCGTGACAGCTGCTACTGAACTCAGTGCTACAGCTACTATTCAGCGCAACACTCAAGTTGCTATGCAACACTGCACTGCAGCTGCTGCTCAGCACAGCACAACAGCTACTACTCAACAGAGCCTTGTAACAAACAAACACAACACGGAGCATGCAAAACAGCAGATGTCGATCACAATGGCTGGTGAAAAAAGCAAGCTTGTTGGTGCCACACAGAAATGCTGCATAACTCCTGCTCACAGTAAGTCCATGACCGTGGCATCGGTTGAAAAGGATGCACCACAAATGAGCGTTGCAGCACCTGTCGAGAACAAAACTCTTCTTGCAACGCCTTCTGAAAGCAGTCTCGCCATTACTCCTGCGAGAAGCTCTATTGCTGTTGGGAGCAGTCCAACAACTGCTAATGTCAGTCCTGCGACGACTGGGCACAAAAGTTCCGTGACTGTTGCCCAGGCGGGCTCTCAGACTATAATTTCAGCTCAGAATGGTCCACTTGCTGGTACGCAGAAGTGCTCGCACAGCGGGAGTGCGACGTCGAATGCATCCCAGGCTGCCACGATGGTCTACACTACCCCAGCAAAGGTACAAGCCCTCTTGCAAGATAAACACTTTTACATTTAAAAAAAATGCGTTCATGCGAGTTTTGTCATCCGTTATCTCCATTTAATATTCTAGGGCTGTATGGTGGGTGGCCAACAGAGGACAGATGCACCAACATCCATTGATCTGTACTTTCTGTGTGCTCCCCCCTGTTTATGCATCCCACCCGTCACTAACTTGCGCTATCCAGTGTGGTGAAGTATGGTTAAATAACCATTAAACAGTGTAGGAATGCCTTCAGCAGGAGATTGTCAAAATGGCTGTACATATACATGTGTTCATTTATGTTAAGAACATTTGTAATGTTTGTGAAAATTACTTATCCTTGACTTTGTCATTCCACTCCCTCGTGTGTTGTGGCTGCATTCTGCAGGTGAGCCTGGCTGCGGTTGGTGTGGCTCGACTCACGCATCGCACTGGACCCATACTCGGCTACAGATCTGGCTCGGCCACCAGGGAGGGCATGATGAGCCATCAGCACAATGGAATGCCAATGCTAGCCAAGAAATCTCCAGTCTCCAAAACTGCACCCTTCAGTGTTCCAATCACAACACTCATGGCCAGTCCACCTTGTGTTTCTCAATCCACAACCTGCACCATTGCCCATCCTTCCAGTTCCAGTGAAGCCAACAATAAGCCTCGTAGAACTGGACCCATCAAGCCCAAAAAGCCAAGTTTGGATGATACGGCGACAGTGCCTTCTGGCCAGGCATTGCAGAGTCCTGAGAAAAGTGCTTCTACGGAGAAAGATTGTCTTCTGCCCGTGACAGCTCTGCCACAGCGAGAAAGTAGACGATCAAGAGACACTCCGAAGTCGCCTGTTTAAAGGCCCATCATTGTCTTGCCCTGGTGTGTGGGCTGCATGCACAGGGACATGCCTGAGTGTCTTGCTGTGAGCTGATTGGAAGCCTAAATGTAGCCTTTTCATGAAGCAATCTGCGAACACTTTTCCGCCTGTTTTGGGCTAGGGCATTTTATTTAGAGATCATAAAAAATCATGAACATATTTTACAGTTTTTTTGGGAGCGACTGATTTAAAATCAATCGCCTATTTAAGATAATGCTTGAGGCACTTCACATAAACTGCATAAATTATTATGCGTCTCACCATTGTTAATAAAAAATTATATTCAACAATGTGAAAGTATATGGGTCGTATGAAATTGTAATTTTAAATGTGTGATTTCATCTGCATTGTATTGTATCTAAAGACATGTTTACGAAATAAATAATATGTTAAATATATGTTAACTGCTGTACAAACATTGTTAACAATGTAACCATTGTACAGTATTGCCAAATTTGAAGATATATTATTGTGGTAGCCACGATTATAGACGTCTGTTTTCCAAAGATCCAGGGGTCGAGTAGAAACAATTAAAAGTCGTACTTTAACATTTTGTTCTGGAATGTGCCTTTGTACAAAGACGTGTATGCTGCATTTTAATGACCAATTGTAAAGATGATCACGTATTTGAAATGTTTTAAATTTGTACTCAAGGAAGGTGATATTCTGGTTCGATTAAAATAGTTTGTGATGATGTTTACTTTCACTATGATAACGAGGTGTTGAAATATGGGTAAATGAAACTGCTTCTGTGCGAACGCATTTGTATTGTGGGATTACGGTTGATCTATTTTTATTTTTTAAAAACCCTATTAAATCAGAGATGGAGAGTGTATGAAAAGGCTGTGTGAGGTGAGCTACCACGTGATCCTACACTCTACCTTGAGACGTCACTGAAGCGATAAGTTGCTGACTGTAACATTGTTAAGATCAAAATGATAGACACGTTTATTTGCCATTTAAAGACGAAAGTGCGTGTTTGAATTGCACAGTTTTTTTAATGGCTAAACATTTTGAGATGTTACAGGAAGTTAAATGTATGTGGTCAAATGATGAATTAAAGAAGTACACATCTAAAAGCACTGAATTCATGTTTGGCACCTCGACACCCGAGGCGTGCGTTAGCACTGCTACACAGTGCATCATTAAAACAACCCACGTGATCAGAGGCAGCTCTGTGCACTTGCATAACACTGTGCCGTCGGCACACGATGTTGCATTAAGAGGTACACGTCCCCATCTATGCACAACAAATTAATTCCCTTGAGGTGCTTTGCCGATGACCAAATCATCCTGAATGAGATCGATATTATCACATATCGTAAGCTAAGCAGTGATGAGCCCGGCTAGTGTTTGGATGGGAGACTGCCTCGGAATGCCAAGGCGTTTGAATAAAAATCTATACATTAAATGTGTAATGCTCAGTATTTGCTTGCTTTTGAAGACCTAGAATGGCGTGAGGAACCACAGGCAAGCGGGAAAGGCAGTCGGGTGGTGATCCAATTCCAAATTCTGCCACCAAGCTCTGCAATCCTCTACGTATTAAGGTGTTATTTGTTAATTGAGTGTTTCTATGTTTTCGGAAGAAACCAGAGTACCCGGAGAAAACTCATGTATGCGAGGGGGCAACACTATCCCATACAGCTGGAGATTAGTCCACACTCGCTGTACTGTCATCTGGCAAGGCAGGGAGGGTAGGGCAAACCTCAATGCTCATGGGAAGGAAATTTCACAGCAGTTGTACGATCCGCCAACCCTTGCTTCCAGTGCTGAATTACAGGCGTGTGTCCCCACTAGCTCGCGGTGTTGGATGCAAGGTGGCCAGAAGATGGATATGCAGCAAAGTTTATTCTTTAATACATTTGTGATGAGCTTTGAGTATTACCCTCTTGCATGCGTGGTTTTTTTTTTCTATAGTTACTGCGATTTCATCTCACAAGTTAAATGCTCACACTCGAGATTGGCTAAATGCGGTATCTCAATGCAAGGACCTCTTGAATACTAGTCTTGAGATTTCGCGATGCTTTCCTGGGTAATTAAAGAGGTTTGTTATTGGTCAAAGACGCGCGCCTAATCATTGGAGACTTGCAATTGCAACACGGCCTAGGGATAGTCTTCATGGGGCATCCAATAGCACAGCAGTAACAAGGCTAAGATAATTATTTATGCAATGTGGTGGTCAAATTACATGGCCATGTATGCATGCTGGAAACTGCCTTCCTGATGACTGTGTGAACACTTTGGTGTAGTTCATTAAATTTATTTCCAGCTTGCAGACGTGTTGTAATGGGGTTTCTTATACACAGATATTGATTTCATTGCCTGAATGGAGATGCTAGTGGGGGACTCCACAGTGGAAATGCAAGCCCTCTCTAAATACATGCGCCCGAAGGCATTGATGAATTGACTGTACTGATTAATCCGAATTATGATAAAACTGGTCTCTCGTTCTGTCTTAAAACTTTCGTGACTACAGGAATTCATATTCTTGGTTCTTTCGGTAAAGTCACGTAGATAGAAAATAAAATAAAAGGTTAAAAATATCAATTAAAAATTATAAATTTAAAATAATACAAGCAAAAAACCCACGACGTTTCGATCGCAACACAAGCGGTCTTCATCAGGCGGAGAGTCTATCTTGCCGAATGTAGTTTATCACTCGTGCACGGGGCTGATGCTACCGTCAGTCCCTTGGGGGGGGGGGTCCGTCAGGTTTAGTGGGTGGCTCTTGATTTTGTGGATCCGCAGATCTCTGAGGGCACGCCGCGGTCCAGGATGGAAGTGGAATCCGCGGTGCCGGGGTTGGTTTCCTTCCCCTGTCCTCTTTGGCGACGATCCGGCACCTCGGCATCGAGACGTTGGGTCTCGACGTGAGGCCGCGGGCCCGGTGGATGCAGCGGCGTCATCTGAGGCGGTCTGCAGCCTGCTGCTACTGCCAGTCTTGAAAGCTGACGCTAGATGTGGATCTAATTTAACACGGGGGGGGGGGGGTGAAGGGACTGCACCTTTCGGCGCTTGAATCCTCACCAAAGCAGTGTTTATAACCGTGCAGCTGTCTCTTGCCAATTCGATGGCCTCCTCTTTGAAAATGAGTATATGACCTTTGTTAAAAGGCACTGACTGATTCACCAAAGTGTGCAACTGTTGGTGACGCAATGTAATTACAGAGCATTTCAATGACTTTGGACATTCATTTCAGGCACTTTAAAGATGTGGGTAATAATTTATATAATCATGAAGTGCCTTTTTACTTCGGCACATATCAACAAATTATATAAATAATGTGTCTACCTTTTCTTGATAAGAGAGAACTATTCATAAAAAACCGTGGTGTAGGACATACTCAAACTGATTATTTCATTCAGTTTCCTGTATGTGTCACACTATTAACCGATTACATAAATAAGCCATACATAAAAAAAAAAACTATAATTGCCTTCAAAATTGCACCCAGTATGATGATTTTGACATTTTGACTGAGATATTTTATTTTGGAACTGCCCTATAGAATATTCAAAAGTACAAAAACAAATACTGCACAGTTGTACCCGTGATGGTCAATGTTTAAAAAAAGGTACCGTGTACAATTTTATAATCATTTGGTCATAATATTGGGAAAACTATATTCCCGAAAAAATAATAGAAATGCCTTCACTTCTGAAACATCTAATTGTAATGTGCAAGTCCTTATATGTATCATTTTTCAAATGTTTAGTTTAATTTAAAGTTTATGGAGTTTTTTGCTTTACATTATTCAAGGTTTTGGTTAACGGAACTGTAAAGAGAAAGTCCTAACTATGCACATATATGACAAATAATAATAGGTTTTACCCTTTTTGACAATACAACAAGTGTTAAGATGCTCAAACACCAAATAGATACATTTTGTAAGGAATCAAGTCTGCATTAACCACACGTACTTGTGGTGAACATGGAAATAAAACACGCTCTAATAATAAATGGCATTGTCTTTGAAACTGATTGGCCTACACCAGAGACAGCCTTCTTTATGGCCTAGTCTCACGAGTGTCAGACCTGAGAATGACAAAAGGCGAACAGTACAAAGACAATGTCACTATTAGATCATTTATAGCTCGGTGTGAGCCGCTATATCGTGGGACCATTTTTGCCAGTATCAAAGTATGAAAAATAAGAATAAGTTTTACCCTTTATGGAAATGTTTTGTTTGCATGTTCACCACAAGTACGTGTGGTTACTGCAGACTTCATTCCCTGCAAAAGGTATCTAATTGGTGTTTGAACATTTTAACAGCTGTTTTATTGCCAGAAAGGGTAAACCCTATTATTATTGTTCATACTTTGATACTGGCAAAAAGGTACCATTTTATGCAAATATGTATGTGTCCATCTGCATTTAAGAGGGAAGTTTTCGTGACTGCAAGGGTCCATACTCTTTGTTTTTTTCGGTAAAGTCACGTAAGTAAAAAAGAAAATAAATTAAATTACGACGTTTCGGAGGCAACACAAGCTTCCGTCTTCAGGTGGAACCGTCAAGTTATACAGTAATTTTGCTATGACGGTTCCACCTGAAGACTGAAGCTTGTGTTGCCTCCGAAACGTCGTGATTTAATTTATTTTCTTTTTTACCTTACGTGACTTTACCGAAAAAACCAAAGAGTATTTTCGTTCTAATTAGGCAAATCATATCGATCAAATAACAGAGCTTTCTTAGCTGTCTATAAAAGCCTAAACACTTGGATATCCAGTGCAGTAAGAGCCTGATATTATCTGACAAGAAACATAATTAACAGAAAAAACTGAATAAATTATACGAATATAATTTACTTTACAATTTTGATGGGAAGGATCCAGCACTGTGCAACTGTCAATTCCACATTGAAACAGAATACGTGCACTACAGCGTCATGCTTGACTCTCAATGCCACAGAATAAACAGCAGATGGTGCAGTAATGCTGCAAAGTCCAGAGAGCATACCTGTTTTTCATTTCACGCAATACCCTGGTTACATCAAGTTTCAGATGTTACTACTCTAAGAGGCAATATTCAAGTAATATGTAGATTTAGCTTGGGTATTTCAGATATGCACTAAAGTGCACACATAACGTGCAATTCTGCCTCTCAACCAAAGCTGTAATGGAAACGATGGCGATGATGCAAATCGATGTGTAAAATATCCTATCATCTGTCGGTGGATTCCTATTATCGGCACGGGTTTTTTTTTCTTCAGGATAACAGGAGTGACAACAATGTCATTCTATTCGCACGTCGTCTTCATCGTCACGAGAGGTTGATGATTGGCAACTCGCAAATGGAATTCATTCGTGAAACATATGGAACCGTAGCCCATAGAAAAGATATAATCTCAAAATTCGTGGAAGGCTTTTATGCAGATCTCGATATTAAAACAAATGTCATGTTTATCCGCGATTAAGTCACCTGGAAGTGGTCTAAAAAGAATTACATTTAACCTATTTTAAGATGTTTAGTGAATAATCCGGACACGGCCTATCATCTGCATATAACACACATAAGAGGAGTCATCTAGAAATTGACAAATGTATTTGATCCTATTCGCATATATCCACAGGTGACAGGGAGGTGATCTTGCTCTAGCACTGCTATCTACATTTTTTGCCAATTAATTATTCAGAAGTGGTGGAAAATTCATCCTATTCGAGTCAGTTCATGCATACATCACTTGGAAATTGTCTCCTGGAACTGTTCAATTGATTCTATTAGCTTTATTTTGTGTTTAAAAGGAATCCTCCAGAAGTGGCAGAACATTAATCCGATCTACTATCTTCTCATTGACCAGAGTGTGAGAGGGCCCCAAAAGTGGTCTACCCTATTTTTTTCGATGAAAGGCGTGACTCCGAAAAGTGGTGGCATTTATCCACGTGTTTCTGCAGATATACGCTATTGAGTAAATTTTGTCGGCAAACGTTTGCTGTTGATCTACATGAGAGACATTTACACTGGACTAAGCTAATGTTCATTTGGTCATCTTGGCATTACTTTCACTCGTTTATAATTTCTCCAATGCCTATCATATGACCTTAATCTCATTGTTTTCTCTCCTCCCCATCACCCATCCACTTTTCATATATATCTCTCTTCAGCCACCTTGATGTGACTTGTGATAAGTCGTAGACCACATGTCTACGTCTTCAATCGGCAGCTCATGTGCAGGTGACTTCATTCCTTGACAGTACTCAAAGCAGACAGGACAGACATATTTATCTCCTTAGAGTAGGTGGGGTAACATGTTTAAGTAGCCCATTGTACAAAACTTGGATGCACAAACCTAACAGTTGTATCTTGATTTGAAGCTTTCGTTTCGTGACTGCAGGAATCCATACTCTTTGGTTCTTTCGGTAAAGTCACGTAGGTAGAAAAATAATAGATCATGACGTTTCGATCGCAACACAA